CTACAGTCTGTAACTGTAGAACTACAAAGTGCACCTATATAGTAAGTGGAGCTGATAAAATGGACAATGAGTGTAGAAACAAGGAGGTGGTCATAATGTTATGCCTGATTGGTGTATATATCAGCAGCACTCACCTTCCAGGGAGCAGCTTGGCGATCTCGGCCCAGCGGTTGCCCAGCACACGGTGGGCCTTATAGATTATCAGGTCCTCCTCTGCAGTCCAGGAGGACTTCTTCACATCTGGGTTCAGGTGGTTATGCCAGCGCTCGCGGCACTGCTTTCCCAGACGCCCCTTCAAGTGCTTAGCAACCATGGCCCACTGCTTGTTACCATACCTATTCACCAGCTCTATTACCTTTACAGACACGAAGTGGAAATGTAAGCCAAGCTATGAGATGAGCACTGCATCGGCCTTCTCACCATTGATATACATGGACAAGATCATTCTGGACGACTCCCATGCAGTGAACCAGTTTTTCCAGTCTGGTCTCTGGTAGAAGGCTGGGGGCCATAATAACCAGAACCAACCAATATACACATTATGTTTATGTAATAATTTGGTTTATTAGGGAAGTCCTCCTTCAATAGGACAAAAAAAAAAGTACATTGTGCTTAATTATAAATAAGGACTGTGCATTTTGCTGAATGTAAAAGTTCGCTACAGCATATCACAGCTGCCGGTACAAAACCACAAAAACACACAGTTTTCATTTTTTGACATAATTCAAAACATTCCCTTTACATTGTGCTACAATTTCATGGTAAACGAATTAACAGAAATGATCGAAAATTACTTGGAATAAAATCTCATTTTACTGTATTAACTTGCATTAAAAACTAAGAATGTTTTTTTTCCCTTCTCCTGAAAGCTCACCATTTTGGAGAAATGAGGTTTTGCTCCCACAACGACATCATCGCTGTCCATTTTACCATAATCCAGATGCCGCGCTGGGTCCAGCCATGCACGTTAAAAGCTCGGCTAGCCACAGCATTCCTTAATCCGTGTAGATATTCATAATAGATTAACTTTAGCACCTTCTTACACAAACCTGAAGTTAGATTCTTATTTGCCAACTTCTTGTTCGTATTTTCCCATTCCACCTTAAATGGTTCAATTTCAGGCACCAGAAAGTAACTGCTGCACCATTTAAGGTGGAACAGGAAACTCGTTCGCTTCATGCTTCTCACTGTGTTTTAGGGGTTTATTTTATTTTTGTGTATTAAGATTAGAAGTGACTCACACATTGATGATTTGCTGATGTGTCTGATTGTGTTTCTCACTCCAAACTTGGTTTTTAATCATCAGGTGCAGACTGAATACTTTCCTACTGGTCCAGACGGCTAATTATCATGATCAGTTATTAAAGTAATAAAAGCTACTGAGAGCAGATCCATGCAGCCTGGATTAATCTGTGTCTGAGGATTATAACAAACCAAATCTAGTGAAAATCGGTTGAGTAATAAGGAAGTTGTGTCTGATTTAATCCTGAGACTCATCGTCTCTCAATACAAGCGAATTTGTTCACAAGCGGATCTTGAGCGCTCCAACATGGCGGGCGCTCAGACGTATGGATATCTAGGTATGGATATCTATGGTTTGCTCCCACAACGACATCATCATTGCCCATTTTCAGTCCTCTTTTCCATAGTCTGAAAACGACATCTGCCCTTTATACTGTAGGAAAAATTAACACCAAATGGACTAATAAGAAAAAATTATGTTTCATTAAATCTTGTGACATTAACATTGAAAGTTAAGAACATTCTTCTTTCTCCCGTGAAGATACAAGGCTTTGTTCTGACAGTGATATGATTGTGTATACTGCCTAAAGGTAAATGTAAATTTCTAAATGTTATTTTTTTAAAAACGTCTAAATGTTATTATTTTTAAAAAATTTTCTAGCTAGTTACATTTGGGGTAATTAAACTTTGCGAATAAAATCATGTTGCCAAATAGTAAAAGAAAACACTGAAAATATATATTCTCTCTCTCACCTTTTCATCCTCCTCTTTAGTCCAAGGTCCTTTGACAAGGTCTGGATCCAAGACTTTGTACCAGCGGTGCTGACACTGATGTTCTGACCGATTCTAATGAACAGTTTGCATTTATTAACATTAACACACAGCACTACACCAAAAAGCAGATCCACTGATGTAAATAAGAAATACACAATAAGGGGCATTTGACAAAGCAGGATTTCTCAGTCTTCAGCCTACTGTACCAAATTTAGTTTCACCTACTCAACTCCGCTTCATGAAACACCCCCTAGATTTCATACACAGCATAAACAATACATACTGGCAGAAAACTGGCGATGTATTTCCAGTCGGTCGTTCCTAAACTCTGAACCAGTGTTCGCAGATTATCATCCTGGAAAACAAAGAGAGACCAGTCTTGTATTAACACACACTCTCAAACACTATTATAAGGGGTGAAAAACTGAGTTCTGAGATGGAAAAACTCAGATTTAGCTGGTTTTCCACTCAGTCTGACTACCGCAAGCTTCTAAAACGTCTGGAAAAACTACACTATATGCACAAATGTTTGTAGACACACCTATTTAGTGGTTTCAGATATTGTAAAAGAGCACCCATTGCTAACGCATTTGCTCAACTGAGCACATATGGACTGTACAATCTCAATATAAAAGCATGGCCAATAGAACGGGGTGCTCTGGAGAAGCCGCACAAGGTCTCCATGCATCCCAGCTTCAGCTAGAAGGGTACAAAGCTCCCCAGCATTGAGATGCAGAGCAGTGAAACTGCATTCTCTGGAGTGATGGAGCTCCATGCAATACCCTTGGGAGCAGCTGGAGTTCGGGCTGAACGATTTGGCTAAAATATCTAATTGCGATCGGACTAATACTGCAATTGCGATTATATTCTATAAATTAAGGTTCAGGCTTTTTTTTGTTGACAAGACCAGAATATTAACCTTTACTAGCTTGAGGCTTGACCCCTTAATGTAGTGTGTCAGACTGCCAGTAAGTCATGGTTGTGAAGTCACAAAACATGGAGGTTAGGTTCCCTCTGATTGGTCTACCTTATGTAGACAGCTCTCAAATTCTACGTTATTCGGTTAAACTTTCTCTTCTTAAAACTTTTTGATGACATAGGCTATAATTGTTTAAAAAAATTGCAATTTTTGCAACTCTTGCGATTTGAAAATTGCACTCCCTTAGATTGCGATTTCGATATAAAACCGATTAATCATTCAGCCCTAGCTGGACTGGCAAAAACTAACCATCGAACATCATTATCTGACTTCACTAATGCTTTTGTGGCTGAACGCAATCAAATCCGTACAGAAATGTTTCGACATCTAGCGTAAAGCCTTCCCAAAACAGTAGAAGCTGTTGCATCAGCAAAGAGGGGACAAACGTCCAATTAATACCCTTGATTTCCAAAGAAACACTGTGTCTACAAGCTTTCGGGCATTTAGTGCCACTCTTTCGTCAACCTAACTCACCTCTTCCTGAGTCCACTTCACTTTTACTTTGCCGCAGTCCTTTTGGTCCGCTACATCAGAATCTGTGTCCTGACAGTCCACGTCCTCCCTGCAAACACACACAGGCAAACAGGACAGTCTTGTTAACAGGTCAGGGGACATGAGGACAAACACTACCATGTGGTCATCAGCAACGTGTGGAGTTGTACTGACACCATCTGGCTTTGTGGTGTTTCCAGTACTAGTATTACAAGCCTGTTAGCACTGCACTAATGTACACATGGTTAAAGCAAAGTTAACAGCCAACTATGGATGAGCTTGAACAAGAAATAGTGACTAAAAACACATAATAAAACATCCATAAGCTAAATATTGTTTCCTTTGGTGACTGAAGTCACACCATGAAAGTCTTAACGTCACTTCTCCAACGTTTCTTAAACATTTCTCAGTATTTACGTTCATAAAGCCTGCATATAGGCTTTAATATCATCAGGATTTGTTCATTTTAGAGCTACTTCTGTTGGCCAAGACAACAACTCGTTAGCTCGCTTGCTACAAGCTAGCTCGATTAGCAAAACAAGATCATAAACTGCGGTTTTGGTCAAGAATAGTTTGTAAAACTGTACAAAAACATGTATTTTAGACACGTTAGGGTTACATCAACTATTCCTGGATCATAAACAGGTTGGTTCGAGCATTACTAGAGCCTTTCCAGCAGACAGTGCTAAGCTGAAGTCAGCTTCTTGTTCGAACTTTCCCGCTCCACCTTAAACGGCGCAGCAGTTCCACTCCGGCCGCTGGAGGCCTGAGGCGCCAGAATGGAACTGCGGCACCGTTTAAGGTGGAACGGGAAAAATGCGAACTTCAGCCTCGAGCTAAGCGGGCTATTCCTATACATTAGCTAGGCGGGTCCCCTGTTTTTGTTTTTTTTTACGTGCTAACGAGTTCTCAAGCGAAGCCTCGACTTACCCCCCAGTCTGCTCACGGTGTATTGTTTATTTTGCCCCGTATTTGAGGTTTGTTTGCGCCGAGTCTACGCATAAACATTGATGAATGGTCCGCTTACCCGCGCGTCCAAGAAAAAGACATTTCCACGCAGATGCGCTTTCTCCGTAGTCTCCGATCAAAGCGTACTTCTTCCCTGCGATGCTTCGCACACAGCACATCAAGATCCGACCATCCGCATCGTGGATCCTGGTCACTTTATTGAACGGACAAAACTTCTCGGATCGACCCCGAAACACACAGCAGCTGTGAAAATCTGAAACTGCGCGCTTTTTTCGCAGGGCTTTCCCGGGAGTGACGTCACGCGCATGCGCACCGCATCGAGCGAGCCAGTGCAGCAGCTAATGGTGATAATTGCAAATAAATAAAAATACTGTGTTAAAATCATTTGCATGACATGACTGCAACTGCATGGGTCCTATTAGTTTTAAATTTGACCAAAAACGTGTCCTCTTTTGTATTCCACTGAAAACACACTGACCAAATGACCAAATCAAATCAAGTATAAATACAAGCTGAAGGCCATTTGGCTCAAGTCTGCAAAATCATGGAGGAAGAGCGAGGCAGAGCTGGTAAATATGGCACTCAAGCCGTGTTCTGTTCTTGTTTGTGGTGTAGGATCCAAGAATCTTGAACTTTTTCACTTTTTTTTTTAAAGGTGGTGCTAAGAACTATGAGGGCCCTTCTTCTTTGTCAGAGCTGGACAAAGGCTTCCTCACAGACTGCAGCCTGTCTGCTTTGTCCATTGAGGGAATCCATTTGAAGCCGCCCAAAGGGATTGTTGTGGAGTATTCAGAAGGCAATCCTGCCCCGCCAGCTTCTTTCAACCCCTCTTCTGGTGTTTTGTCACCTTTGAATGCCCCCAGTAAGAGCTCCCTGCTATCTCCAAGCAGCACCCTGACTGCTGGCCTTAACAGTTTGATCGAGGGCAAGTCCTCCACGCCTTACGAGAGGGTTACATTTCAAAAGCCTGTTCTGGTTAGCTCGCTGGACCTGTCCTGCATTGATCTGACCACCTCTCACCCGCCATGGGAAGTCTCACTCATCAGGCCCGCCTTAGAGAGCCCAAAGCCGTGTTTGGACTCAAGCAAGTTGGAGTCAACATGGAGCCCCAGTTATCAGTCGGTTCCCCCAGCGCTGGCAGAGATCTCCTCACTGATCTGGTCTGGGACACCCACTAGTAAATCTGCCATTGAGGAGTATCAGAGGTCACGTAAGGAATCCACTTTCCAGGATTCGAACCTGCGCCATGCTGTTCTGGAGCTTACAGAGGAGCAGCAGAAGAGTCTGGCCAGAAACCTTGCAATCTAATGCAGCAAAGGGGAGGTTTAGCATGAAATGGCCCAGTGTGTGGTCAACACTTCATGGAGAAAGGGTGTATTTATTCAGCTTTTGTTCTGTTTTCTGGATTTTGTGTGGTGACCAATCACAAAACGTGAAGTAATGTAGATGGATTTTTGTATTGTGTTTTTGTACTTGGAAATAAAGCGTTATATTTATACACTGAGTGATTGTGATTCAGTACAAAAGACTTTATTCAAAATAACTGACAGTTACAAACATCAGACTGTAGCGTTATGATGCGCACACGAATGTAGATGATTTGCATTTATATAAGGTATGTACTAGCAGTTCACATCCCTGAAGGGAAGGTCACTTTCTTTTTATAAAGGCCTCCTAATTTAAATGCTGATGTGTAAAGTCATTCAGGGTGGTTTGCTGTGAACTGTTTGGTTCTTAAGAAACTTTCAATGTCAGACTTCACAGCAGTGGAGACAGGAACCAGATGTCTGAGGAGTCTCTAAAAAAGCCTGTAAAAGCTACGTCACAGAAAGCTATTAGAAGAAGAGGTAACAAATGTGCTACTCAATGTCTGAGACATAGTTCTATGATAGTTTAAAGTAGGTTTTGAACTAAAATGTGTTTATAAATATGCAAGGTGTTGTAAAAATAGCAAAATTGTCCCCCAAGAAAACTTTTTTCCCCCTCCCAAAGATTTACCATGTTACTATCAAAACTCTGCTATAAATACATTCACTAGCCATTTGGACAGTAAATAAAATGGCTATATTTGCATTGTAGACATTGCGTACACCATCATGAAGTTCAGAGTGTCTCTGTGAATAACTTACACTTAAATGCTTGAATTCTGCAGAATTTTGCAAATATCTTTACTCAGATAGCCATATGAGATTATACTGGAGATTATAATATAAGGTTATTAAATCTGTGGACCCCCCTGAAATAGAGATTACCCACAAAATGAACAGCCTCTATGAACTTCACCCGGCTGAACTTGTGTATATTTATATAAATATGGTTTAAATATGCACATAGTGGAGTTGTAATAAAAAAAAATAAAAGTAACTGATAACACGTCTACATGTAGTGAACTCTTCACACCATAAACCAGGCATAATCAACCGTCAAATCAAAAACCAAAAGGTACATTCAGGTCCAGTATAACAGGAACTTGCTTTAAGTGTGGATAAAGAGTGTTAAGAGGAGCAGAAGTATCTTCTACAGGTGAGATGCAGAACTTTTGTCTTTGTTATTACATATATGGAGTAACAGATCCTGGATCAACAGTCTGACTCTGAGACCTTTAGCACATAAGTCCTGATGCTAGTTCAATCAATGTGTAGATAAGTCCAAGAAATCTCTGGCGTGCATACAGCCTTCATGCCAGCAGTCCTCCACTTCGCCTTACTGTCCAGCTTCAGAACGGGGAAAATCTTGTCTGCGTCGTGTCGATATCATGTTCCTAGAGAAGGGAACAAAGAGACATTGGGCCTCATTCACCAACCGTTCTTAAGAAGAAATTCATTCTTAAAACCCTATTTCATGGTTTTGACGAAGATTCTGACATTCACCCATGTTTACTTATTTAGGATTTGTTCTTAGGTAAGAACAGAATCCACACACAATCAAGAGCACAAAGGTGAGAACAGTTCTGCAGTTTAAGAACACGTCATGAACGAAGATGCCCCCCACCACCTCAATCTAATCTCAATGCCGCAATTCACTGACTGGTTGTGGTCTATTTAAATCTGAAATGTCATCTGAATCACTGCATTCCTGAGATTTTGGTATGGAAACTTTCTGGGTCTGTTGATCTAACTGTTGTCATTGGACAATAGTGATATATGCATTTAGGTAGGTAGGTAGATAGACAGATAGATAGATATCAAATCAAAGCACGTTTATTGTGTAGCCCCCTTGTAGAGTTTAAATACAAAAAAATATATATATATATAAGAAGAAAGAAATATATAAACACCGACTCTAAATAGGTACACGATATACACTACTATTGCACTATTGCACATTTCCAATGTACAGTTGTTCAGTAATAAGTTATGAAATAAAACTTACTGGATGAAAAAACTATGATATATACTGTTGTACACATTTCCGTATGCACAAGTAGTGAGTCTGAGGTAGATAAAGAAATGAGATGCTGGGTGGGTGGCTGGGTCGGTAGGGAGGTAGGTGGGTAGGTGATTCGGTGGGTAGGTAGGTAGGTACTTTATTTATCCCAAGGAACTTTAGCAGCTAGTATCAGTCACACAACACAGCACGCTTAAAATAATAAGGGTGGTACAATAAAAAAAGAACGATATATAACCAAAAACATATCTACAGGCATATATACAACTAGAAATATACAAAAATTATGCACAATGATCTATCCTGAGATTAAAAAGGCAGTGCAGTAATGACTGTACAAGGAGGTGCAGGTAACAGCATATAATGACAATATGGAATAAATATGTGCATATATTGGTAATGAAATAAAGTGTCCAGATGTGCAGAAGTGCAATATGTACATAAGTGCAGAAAGATGCAGGTAAGTTGTACAAGAAAAGTTGTTAAAGTATATCATTGTTGGGGGACGTTGTATAGAGAGCAGTACATTTGGGATTAAGAAGAAATAAATATAATCTGGGGTGAAAAGATAATGTTAGGCTTTTGGAGCAAAACATACTCCCAGAGCAGCGGTAAATGCCCCCTTTACAATACTGCCCACAAAACTAGGGTCAACTTAGATTTAGAAAGTCACAAAGCTGTGAACTGTGGGCTGTATATCAGGCAAAAGCATTAAATTGCTTGTCGCTTTGAATGTTATTGCTTTTTTTAAATTGTTATTGCTATTATGGCAGCCAACTAATATGACGTCTAATACAACAGCTACTAAAAATAATAAATATAATCATAATAATACCATTAAATGAATATACACGATGTTATTTATGTAGCCACTGTAATCAAAATGAGTATTAACAAACAAAACATTTTTTTTTTACATTTTTTTATTTTTTTATTTGTCACAGTTTTTTTTCAATTAAAATGAATCAGAATCATTAGAATATAAGGTCATATGCGTCTCCATTTCATTTAAAATGTTTAATTTTAGGATTCACCAGGGGGCTTCTTGGCCCGACAGTGTGGCATAAAGGCGCTTTCTAAGATTATTATTATTTTTTTTTTATGATTAACATTTTTTATTGATTTTTCTCTTAGATTAATACTAAACCACACATATAAGTATTTGTAACAACATAAGCCCCTTTATCCTCCCCCTACCCACCCTAGCTGTGTCGGTGCAACATTCATGACCTGGTTTAATCCAGTACTGTACAAGGTTCTGTATCATTAAAAGAAAGGAAAATAAACAAATAAATAAATAAATAATACTAATAATGAACAACAAAATTAAAGTAAAAGTGGCAATAACAACAAAGCGGATCACTGCATGTTACTCCTCTTTTAAGAGCTCTCTATAAATCTTAAATATTTGTCCCATTTACATCTGTACACTTCTAAATGCCCAAACAATTTAAATGAGTTTTTCATATGCAGCTACTTTGCCAATCTCAGCAACCCATTCTTCAAATGATGGAGGGCCCGCTTCCCTCCACCTCCTAAGGATAACCTGCCTACCAATCATTAAACTGGTTTGAATCCATGCCTTTAAATGCTTGTCCCTGGTTACTAGCCTGGAAGGATCTCCTAAGACAAACAGTCTTGGGCAAAAGGGGATTTGACTACCTAGTACTTTACAAACAAAATCATAAAGCACCCTCCAAAATTCCTGAACTCTAGGACAATGCCACATAGCATGAATAAAGTCCCCGTCTTCAGACTTGCAACGCCAACACTCAGCTGTGTCCTTTAAACCAAGCTTATGCAATCTTCTAGGGGTCCAATAAACAAGACATTCCTCTAACTGTGTGCAGGTTTATGCATCATCATCGTGTTCATGCTAAATTCACTCATGCACAGATATGATTTAGCTTTACAGTAAATAGACACTTAAGGGGTGCTTTTTCCCCAATTTACCCATTAATAACCAAAGCGTGAGTGTTGAACCCACCTGGTTCAGTTTTTTGAACTCCACCACCTGAAAGAAGATGTGCTCCAGGATGTGTTTGGCATCTCTTTTTTCTTTGTCCAGCTTTCCAGTAACCCCTAAAATGTCTCCACACTTTCGCACATAAAACTCGAGGTCGTCATCTGTGCCTGCGAGACGAGAGAAACACAACAGTCATGAAACAAAATTCCAAAAATTAAAGTGATAAAGTGATAGTTTTAGAAATTCCAAATTCTTACCCAAAATACAGTCAATCAGTCAAGATAAGTCTGGTGTCTGAAGTTTGCTTTTTTAGTTTTGCACTGGAGCTATGAGGCTAATGTAGCTAACGAGTAATGGAGGGTTGTAGTCTACCAATTAGCATAGTGCAAACTAGTTTCCTAAATCAGCACAAACTTGCCTCGAACCAAGTCGCTCTGGTAAGTAATCTCAGATAGACTTGCTTATGTTTGACACTATATGACATACTATCATCTATAAATATGGAGAAAAGCACATCATTCAGGCTTCAACTTGGCTGCTACTGCTATGCTTAGCTATGAGAATGACTTTAGTCCATAGTTTTAGATTTTTAGATACTTGTTAGCTACATTAGCCTCAAAGCTTCAGTGCAAAACCTTCCTCACCTAACACATACGGACTACTTGAATAGATCTGGGGAAAGGAGGAAATGATCTATGTTTGACTATTCCAGCTATATAATATATATATTTTATGCAGTTTTTAGACTTTTAGCCACTTGTCAGCTGCATTAAAACTAAAGAAGCAAACTTTGAACACCAAACGTGTCTCGACTGCAAGAGGAAAAATGTCTACATCTGAATCTGCAGCTTCAAAAAGTTCAGAAAAGCAGGACATCAGTCATGTCCACTCAGAATGTCACGCCTGTGAGCTTACATTTGTTTGAGAGCTGAGCTAGTCGCACTTTCTCCGATGAGAAGGTTTCGTCGAGGTCAAAGAGGTCGAGCATGGGTGGGGGCAGGTCCCTAAAAGCAGGCTGGAAGACCTGAGCAGACAAGTCAAATGCAGTATGTATATAACTAAAGGCTGAAATGTATAAAAGGATGGTAAATAAAAATGCAATTAATAGGAAAACACTGCAAGAGTGGTCATAAGCACAATATACAACACTGTACAGGAAAGCTGCTTACAGCCGGCTGCAGAGGCGGCAGTGGCGTTTCGAACTGAGGCGTGATCAGCTGGAGCGGCTCATGTTTGACATTCAACTGCTTGTAGGCCCTGGAAATGACAACAGAGCATTCAGTCAGTATTATAAGACAAGCTAAACTCTATTGAGAGAAATTTAGCTGTATAAAAAACTAAAGTATAAAACGGATAGTTACATTCTTTGCTGATTGGCTGAGCCTAGGCCTGAACGATTTGGGGAAAATATCTAATTGCGATTTTTCCTACTAATATTGCACCAGCAATTTAAATTGTGATATTTTATAAATTAAGATTCAGGCCTGACTTAATTTGGCCAAAAAGGCCAGAATATCCACCTTTTTTGACTCGAGGCTCGACCCCTGAACACAGCGTGCCAAACTGCAAGTAAGTTGTGGTTGTGATGTCACAACATATGGAGGTTTGGTTGCCTCTGATTGGTCTAACTAAATTATATCTACAGGCATTTCCCAAACTCTTATTAGGCTCAATTTCCCCTCTTAGAACCTAAAACAACATTTCTGCTAATGTACACGCTTACAAAAGATGGTTTTTCAAGGGTTCTTTGTAAAGATAATGGTTCTATATAGAACCATGAACACTTAGTGACTCACTTGCATGCTTAAAAAGTTCTATGCATGATGAAATGGTTCTTTAAGTTTATGGACATTGAGTTGTATATATATGGTTCTATATAGCACATTTGTGAAAAGCGTTCTATACAGCACCAAAGTGTTCTTCTATTGTTACAAACTTAAGGAACTATCTTTTTTAGGAGTGTGGGCTATAATTAAAAAAAAAATGATGCTCTTACAATTTGAAAATTGCACCGTCTTATATTGCGATTTCGATACAAAAACGATTAATCTTTCAGCCCTAGCTGAGCCGTGTTCAGATATACGCACATCTTTGACTGCCTCAAAACAATCAATGCATTCACATGGACCACTAAGCATATTGATAGGTGAGACAAGGCATCAGCATTTACATACAGAAAATGGGCTGGAACAGTATGAAACATACCCTACATAAGAACCCAGTTTTGTTTAAACTTATTTTCTTAACACCTAGAATTAGGCAGATCAACCCAGCAGACAGCTAACATGCTAACAGGTGCCTCTATTAATAATTAGTGCTGTAAAGTATTTACTGCAGAATTCAACATGAAACTGAAACATACGACGTCAAGTATATGTTATACATATATGTTTTACAAGCTTCAGATGTCCATGTTTTTGGGAGATCAGCCTTTAATTAGTATTAAACACAACGTGGAAAAACAAATGCATGACATCGTTAGCTTGATGCTAGCACAGGAAATCATGGGGTCAGCAGAAATTCGCCTCACTGAGTGCGTTTACTTGTACTTATTAATCCGATAACTGCAGAAAATCAGATTTTGTTAGTAATCCAATCAACGCATTTACATGCTCTTGAGTAATCAGACAATGGGAAACTCCAGGTCTACATGAGTCAGACAGTAATCTGATTTCTGCTGTACAACCAGCCAATAAACTCACAATAATAAACTCTTTACCTTACAATATGAACATACATTAACTAGAAGATGAAGAATATTTAAATCCTTCATTTTGTCCAGAATGTAGTCGGTTTCAGCGTCGCCCCAAAAGTGTTTTGCTGCGTCTCACGGCGACGCCGCTTGTTTATTTCCGGTACAGCAGTCTGTTTTCGCACATGCTCAGACTGAGAAATCCGAAAGAAATCAGAGTAAGAGTTTACATGCACTGAGAAATCTGATTACTGAGCTAAAATCCAGCCTCTTCATCAGATTTCTATATTAGAGCATAGTGTTTACACGACCATTTGAATAATCGGATAACTGCAGAAATCTGATTATGATCGGATTATTGAGTGCATGTAAATGCACTCATTGTTTCAGTGGTAATTGATAAGAAAAAGTATAAGATTGCTGAAGAATGAATGAAGATTGCTATATTATGATATGGTCATGATTAGGTGCATATTTAAGTCTGTTCCCTGCAGAAGATGCGTTAACTAATTTTCACTTGGAAAATCAACAAAACAGGTGATTTGACTGAACCTGTACCTGAACTTTTGCAAAGACTTACTTCTCCACTATGAAGGAACACTGTATTACAGTGACATTACAGTAAACGGCTGTAATGCTTCACATATGTCTAAACATATTAAAAGCTCAGCTTAGGTGCAGCATAATTATGCATCCTTTAAAATGTGCGCAATGCAAGGACAACTCTAAGGCTATGTTCACTTTACAAGCCTCAGTGCTCAAATCCGATTTTTTGCTCAAATCTGATCTCTCTGACACGATGGTTCACACTCGTTTAGGTAAGTGATTCAAGTCTGTCATTAATGTGATGAACCAGCGTCCTGAAATGACCCTCATGAGCTCATCCTACTCAGTAACGTCACGTGAATGAATCACGTTCATCATCTGCACAAACTAACGAGCAGAACGAGCTTCGCTGAGAAGATAATTAACTCTGATCAGCTCTCAGCTTCATTATTAGAGCGAGACGAAGGAGAAAAAGGTGAGATGAGCTGCTTTTCCACCGTTTACAGGCTTTAACTTCTGTTCAGCGCTGTTGCCATGGTAACGCTGGATGATGGCGCATGCGCAGTGGAAAAAAAGCACATGAATTCAGATCTGAGCGTCACATTAAGGTCACAAGGCCACGAATCGGATATGCATCGGATCTACGACCACACGTGAAAGTGGCTCAGGTTGGATTTGAAAAGATCAGATTTGTGTGTCCACACAGCTCTGAAAACATCAGATCGGAGTCACATTAGGGCAAAAAATCAGATTTGTGCCGCTTCAACGTGGTAATGTGAACGTAGCCTAAATGTATTTGATGGATCCAGATAATTACCTAATAACAGAGGGCAGCGTATCTGTTGACAGTTTAAACAGAGACATGTCAAAAAGTGAGGTGAAGTCTCGTGGATTTTCGTCCCCCTCTTGCAGACACACCCTCAGTCTGTCGGACAGGCGTCTTGTGTCTGGTAACATGGTGTAGTCTGTGATCTGGAAACACAAAGACATTTTGTCTACTGATGTCCTGTATTATTTTTTGTGGCCTAGTTTATGAGCCACTTTATTCTGTTACTATTTTAGCATATAATGGTATAATAATTGCCAAAGTACACTGAAGTAAATGAAGTAAAAATTGCTCACCTCTGGGTCTTCTGCATCTATTTGATTAAGGTGAATGTTGTCAGTCATCAGCCACTGGAACACAACATCCTGCACCACAGAAATGACAACAGAATTAAAAACCTGAACAGAACATTCCTTAAGCCTTCATATAAGTTAGAGTAATGAGTAGCAGTAGTAGTAAAAATAAAACAGTAGAAAAAAAATAGTTCAGTAAAGATCACCATAATTTTACTGTTCTCCTCCTTGTCCAGATACTGGTCACTGAACATGTGGCACGAACCCAACACTGCCAACCTCCCTGCATTCTTTATTTAAACAAGACACATAAACATGAACCTATTAAGGAACAAAGTAAAATGTACTGGTGAAATGAGAAGATATACAGTACTGCGCAAAAGTCAGAGACCACCCTTCATTTATTTTATTTTAATTAAGTGGTCATTAAATAAAAGTTACTGATTTTTCAGGGTCAGGAAAAAAGCAGAAAACATATTTAGCAGAAAATTACACAGAAGCCACTGTATCACTCCGCTGAGACGCTGTTGCTAAGCAACGACTTTGACAGCTGTAGGAGACGCTCAAGCCATTTGAACCTTTTTACTTCTTACTTTGCCACAAACAGAAAACGGACACTTTTAAGATCACATTTGACCGACAGCCGATTTGGTCAGACTCTGAAGATGAGACGACACTAAATTCCCAAACTGTCATCACCACTGAGCAGCTTTTCAGTCGGCAGCTGTGACAGAAGAACAGCTAAACAACCTGGAATCAGCCAGAAATGAGCCCAATACCATTCGCCAAACGTGTAGTCTGATCTTCAGAGTCTGACCAAATCAGACTGAGTCATAAAACCGCCGCAATATCAAGTTCAGCTCAGTTTTGTCAGTTTTTGCCAGATCAGTATTAATGTTGTTTTGTTCCAGCCAGTCTGTAAAGCATCTTACAGCCCATTTAGTTTGGCGAATGGTGTTGGGTTCATTTCTGGCTGATTCCAGGTTGTTTAGCTGTTCTTCTGTCACAGCTGCCGACTGAAAAGCTGCTCAGTGGTGATGACAGTTTGGGAATTTAGTGTAAGGAGCTGGAGAACGAACTGCCGGCTGTGCAGCGAGTGGGCGGAGCTCGTTACTCTGACGTAGCAACAAGCTGCTTGTTAAGGAACTATAATTTGGTGAAGGAACTGCGAACATTAAAACATATTAAACGCCGCGTTCACGGCCCAGTTTACTAATTTATTACTGTATTTATTTAACTGTTGTATAAAAGCAATAGAACACTCGAGGAGTGTGTTATCGCCTTCGGCTTGTGCCTGTGACCGAAACAGCCACACCCTCTCGTGTACTATTGCTTAAGTATTTAGTGTGTTCACGCTTTGCCTTTATAGCAGTTTTCCTTGTTTTTCAAAGACTTTCTTTCAGTTTTTAAACAAAATCTGCAAAATCCACACACTCCAAAGTTCAGTCTTAGAAGTTGGTTGCATTTTCTGCTTCTCGTGATCCAAATAATATCATTCAATGATGTTAAGTCTTTAGTTCTTAGAATACCAGCAGCTTCTGTGTTTCACTTACACATCCTTTTAGACCCACATCTTTTCACAGTGGAAGGATGGACAGAAATGTGGATCTCCCTGTTTCTGTTCAGTTTTAATCTTACTTTCCTTTGACTTTCCCCTTCAATATTTTCTACATCTGATCTACTCAAAATATCTCCTGAAAAATATTGACTTTTGCACAGTAGTATATGTAATGGGTAAGAAACTGCAATGTATACTAACTGCAACTTGGTAGAAAGCCAGAACAGGCCGGTTGAGAGGGAAGCACACAGAGCCAGTGGAAAGGATAGCTATGGCAGGCTTCATGACATTCAGTGTAGCTCCGTATGGATACACAAAGGTGAGGGCCCTGTTCGAAGCACAAAAGTCCATTAGCACATCTTTTGCAAGCTCTCATTGTCCACTATTGTGCAAGTGCATGCAAACCAGGGCTGTACAATACATTGTTAATTGTTATCACCATAGTGGCCTTTGCTATATATCAGACAGCTGCAATGTGCAAAGGAGCCCTTTAACAAATCACAAATGTTTTACTGTATGCTAGGAGCATCCTGATCAATCAAAGAGGTTCTATATGTAGTGTCTGAGGGTGTTTTGATGAATCAGTCACAAGATCCATGTAAATAACCAATGTAAAGCCAGTAGAGCAGCGCAGGTTAAATATTAAAATGTATAAAAAGTGATGAAGGTTAAAAATCCTTTCTAATAAAAAAGTGAGTATAAAGTGATATAACAACCTCTACTACACCTAAAACATGCATCCACATGACCATTGATATTAAAGGACAGTTCCACCTATTTTTAAAATTAAATTGTTTACATGTAAACAAAGTCTGAGTGGTTTGATGTTAAATGCTCCAATCCAGAGAAACTTACTGAGTCAGAATTGTTCACAGTGATAGAAACCAGACATCTGAAGTGGCTAATGCCTCTAAAACAGAGGTCACTAATAGGCGGGCCGCGGTCCGAGTCTGGACCCAGACACTGTCCTATGCGGACCTGGACCTATAACCGATAAAATATGGATAACATTTCGAGATCTGTGCATTACGATGAGCACCGAGACTCGAGTGAGTGACGCACGCACAGGGGAGGGAAGAGGCGAGACACAGCAGTCGGTGAAGAAAGTGAGTCAGAGGGAAATTATTTCACATGTCGTGATCTAAAAAGAGAAAACTGAAAATAAATGTTGTGGAAATATGACTGAATTGTACTTTATTTGATTTGATATTCAGTTGTTGACTGTATAAGATGTTGATATACCTACTAGGCTCCTTCAGTAAACAGTATATGGCACTGAATCATGACGCAAGTTAGACATTATGATGTTCCGGACCTTTGCTTGAGGAACTTTTCTCTAACTGGACCTTACTGAATTATAATTAAACACCCCTGCTTTAAAATCTACCTCACAAGATGATATTTTATTAATCTTTTACAAATATGTTGCCAGATACCAGTGATATTATTTTACAATTGTTTTAAGATAAGCTTCTGGCCTGAAACATACTTTTAAAAAGCCATTTATTGCAAAGAGATACATGAAGGCAAAATAGCACTCAAACAACCTCTGTTTTTTCACCATGTAAGGAAATCTCAATAAGGAATTTTCTCTGAAATGTGCTATTTCACAACAAACTACTCTAAATCTAGGATCTAAATTTAGAAAAATTGGCGGAATTCTCTTTAAAGTTAATGTACATAAATACCGATTCAGCCAGGACTTACTGTGCATTGTTTCCAGTATTTTCATCATCAATGATCCCTGTCACCACTTTCCCAGCCGCACGACTGATCTCCCTGCCAGAGACAATGAGTTCATTAAAATATACAACTGATGCTTCACAGTGGGTGACAAGTGAGTCATTTTAAAATGAGCTTTTAAAATAGAAGAATTACCTGTTGAGAACACCATTGGACACTAGTGCTTCTTTGGGATGGAAATACTTGTAGTACACGTTTCGCACTACAGTGTCTTGGAAAGGGAAACAAATAGGATAACAGCAATAAACAGGTTTCACCTAATTGTGGCACTTTAGTCCATAACTTAACTGTGTGTATAACTGCATTCAGTCTGTCCTGCTCACCGCTGTTGATCATTATTCCAAACTCTTCCAGGAGGAAATTGATATTGGTATCATAGCTGACTTCTCCTCCTTCTCCAAGCATCGCAAGGACGTTTCCACCGCCATTCAGATACTGCTTCAGGACTTCCAACTATATAAAACACATTAAAAACATCCCAAAACCATGTAAAAACACAGAATGTCTGCACTAGTGCTGGTGAATGTTTATCTCTGTATAATTGAGTTGTACTTTGAAACCGCAGCATTTCCAAAAAAGTTGGGACGCTGTGCAAAATGTCAATAAAAACAAAATGCAATCATGTGCAAATCATTTAACCTGTATCTTTAAATGAAAATAGTACAAAGACAACATATTAAATATGAAATTGTATTGATTTTTGAAAAAATATTTGCCCATTTTGAATTTGATGCCAACAATACGTTCCAAAAAAGTTGGGATGGGGGCAACAAAAGCCTGGTAAAGTTGTGTAATGCTAAAAAAAAAAACAAAACAAAAAAAAACAAAACAAAAAAAAAACTGGTCATTGATTGACAACAGGACAGTAACATGATTGGATATAAAAGAGCATCTCAGAGAGGCTGAATCTTTCAGAAGTAAAGATGAGGAGGGGTTCACCACTCTGTGAAAGACTGCACCATCAAATAGCGCAACAATTGAAGAATAACATTTCTCAACATAAAATAGCAAAGACCTTTTGCTTTTCATCATCTACAGTACATAACATCTTTAAAAGATTCAGAGAATCTGGAGAAATCTCTGTATGTAAGGGACAAGACCAAAAACCAGTATTTGCTGGCCGTGCTCTTTGGGCCCTCAGACAGCACTGCATTAAAAACAGACATGATTCTGTAGTGCAAATCACTGCATGGGCTCAAAAACACCTCTGAAAACCACTGTCTGTGAAAACAATTCATCACTGCATCCACAAATGCAAGTTAAAACTCTAATAAGCAAACAAGAAACCAAATACAAACAAGATCCAGAAACGCTGCCACCTTCTCTGGGCCTGAACTCATTTAAAATAAACTGAGGCGAAGTGGAAAAGTGTCCTGTGGTCTGATGAATCAACATTTTGAAATCTTTTTGGAAATCATGCACACTGTGTCCTCCGGGCTAAAGAGCACTCAGCTTGTTATCAGTGCACTGTTCAGAAGCCAGTATTCATGATGGTGTAGGGGGGCATTAGTGTACATGTCACGGGTGATGTTCACATCTGTGAAGGCACCATTAATGCTGAACGATATATACATGTTTTGGCAGCATATGCTGCCATCCAGACGGCGTCTTTTTCAGGAAAGGCCTTGATTATTTCAGCAAGACGATGCCAAACCACATTCAGCACGTATTACAACAGCATGGCTCCATATTAAAAGAGTCCGAGTGCTAAACTGGCCTGCCTGCCGTCCAGACCTGTCACCACTGAAAAGGTCTGGCGCATTATGAAATGAAAAATGCGACAAAGAAGCCCCTGAACTGTTGAGCAGCTGAAATCCTATATGAAACAAGAAAAGGAAAACATTTCACTTTCTAAACTACAACAGTGTCTCCTCAGTTCCTAAACACTTACAGAGTGTTGTTAAAAGAAGAGGTGATGAAACACAGTAGTAAACACACCCCCGTCCCAACTTTTCCGGAACGTGTTGTTGGCATCAAATCCAAACTGGGCATGTATTTTTCAAAAAAACATAAAATTTCTCAGTTTCGACATTTGATATGTTGTCTTTGTACTATTTTCTTTTAAAAATATGGTTTACATGATTTGCATTCTATTTTTATTTCCATTCTGCACAGCGTCCCAACTTTTTGGGGTTGTAAATGTACGAACGTCACTATGAACCAATGCACAGTATAACAGAAACCAGACTATGAGAAAGGTGATTAGCACCTCAGCAGCCGTGAACTTCTCCCGAGGACCCGCGGTGATCCACAGTTTCGCACCATGCAGTTTCTCCGCCGTCAGCTCCTCTTTGATGCTAAGGAGGAACAATGACCGAAACATGGAAATTCAGCAGTTAACACCACATAGCTCACAACTGACTGTGTGAATGAATCTGAGACCCAGGACCATTGTATACCCTGAATCTGCATGTGTTGTATACAGGGGTAAAGTGAGTGTTAGGTTTAGCCCTTAATCACAAGTACACCTGACTGTGTCTGGCAGTTTTTTACCTCTGAATTTTCCACTGTGCCCTCAATCTCTTCTGAAGAGACTTGTAGCCACTGTTGGCGGTGAACAGCTCTCTTTTGGAGGAGTTGAAAACAACGGTGTTCCGTGGTTCTTTGTCCATCCTGCCTCTGGGAGCTGTCTATATTATCTAAAGACAAAAATCTGCATGGAGAGAAGACCATTTTATTATTTCGACTGGTCACTATATCCCCAAATGAAGGCTACTACTGTATACTAATGTCACAACCCATCAGTTAACATTAGGTTTCATCATTTAATCTCTTGTACTGAACATCCCACTATAATAAAGAGAAAGATTGACTGTTAATTCCTCCTCTGAAACGTGTTCTCTAATTCTGGCCATGCTTCTAAAAAACAAAAAGAAATGTGAAATAAGTGACCAATATTGCAGAAAAGTCATGGAAATGCTTTCAGGTGTTTTAATAACGTTACACAGCACCATTTCTGGCTTGCAGAGAGAAAGTGAAGTTAGTGGGCTTAGTTAGCGCCACTGATGTTAACCTGTACATAATATGGGTCGTTAAATAGTTAGAATCACATTTATTCGCTATAATTTATCAATAATAACCGATACAGTCAGAGTATCGCTAAGGCTACCGAGCCAGCCAGCTAACGTTGGTTAGCCGAGCAGCCGCACATCCGTCAAAATCGAGAGAAAAACACCCGCGAATCATGAAATTAACAGACTTTATGCCTCAGATAATAACTGCTAGATTATAAACTGCAATTTTAGGTCGATGGAAATAATATAATAAGCTTAGAAAGGGAGCAAAATTACGAAACGCTACCTCCAAATTCAGCATTGTTTTTTAGCCTGAGCCTTAGCTGCCGTGATGCATTGTGGGTAACTGCTGAGGACAACGGTAACCAGAGACGCGTCGTCCATAGCAACCAGGACACGATGTAAACATAAAAATTAAACATTAAACATTTAACATTAAAACTGCTTTCTTATATATACACTCCATTATATGAGCTCCAGTATTACAGACTGTAGTCCATCTGTTTCTCTGCACACTTTGTTCTTCAGTGGTCAGGACCCCCACAGACCCTCACAGAGCAGGTACTATTTGGGTGGTGGATCATTCTCAGCACTGCAGTAACACAGACGTGGTGGTGGTGTGTTAGTGTGTATTGTGCTGGTCTGAGTGGATCAGACACAGCAGTGCTGCTGGAGTTTTTGAACACCTCAGTGTCGCTGCTGGACTGAGAATAGTCCACCAACCAAAAATATCCAGCCAACAGCGTCCTGTGGGCAGCGTCCTGTGACCACTGATGAAGGACTAGAGGATGACCAGCACAAACTGGGCAGCAGCAGATGAGCTATCGTCTCTGACTTTACATCTACAAGGTGGACTGACAAGGTAGGAGTGTCTAATAGAGTGGACAGTGAGTGGACACAGTGTTTAAAAACTCTGCAGCTGTGTCTGATCCACTCGTACTAGCACAACGGTTGGTGTAGTGTAGTGGGGACCACCTCTACCTTCTACACTGTAGACTGGGGTTCAATCCCAGCACCCTACACTATACCAATAAGAGTCCTTGGGGAAGACCCCCAACACTACCTTGACCCACCTGTGTAAAATGATGGAATAGGAAGTCCTTCTGGATAAGAGTGTCTGCCAAATGCCATAAATGTAAATGTAAACACACCACCACGTCAGTGTTACTGCAGTGCTGAGAATGACCCACCACCCAAATAGTATCTGCTCTGTGAGGGTCCATGGGGGTCCTGACCATTGCAGAACAGGTGAAAGGGGGCTAACAAAGTATGCAGAGAAACAGATGGACTACAGTCTGTACTGACAAGGAGGTTATTTTAATGTTGTGGCTGATTAACGTATGTGACATCTAATAAAATAATGTTTAAATCATGTAATATATGATGTATGTCATGCTGGAAGTCATCATCACACATTTAAATGAATGTATCGGCACATCTGATTTAGAATTAAGACATAATAAATGAAGAAAACTAATTAAAAACTATTCTTCTTCCATCTATCTGCTTGTAACACTAGTGACAGAATTATCCTGGTGCTTATTATACAAAATCCAAAGAGAAACAGAGGAGGGCCAAAAGCATCTGTGAGTTAAGCTCTTAACTGGCAGAGAGAGTGTAAAGTGTGATGCTCGCTCTACCATTTAAGAATCATCTTCGTGCTGAGACGAGGACTTCTTTTTAACCTCTCATTCTCCAGGGTATATTTTGGTTTGTCCATCTGAATTTACACGACCAAATCGTGAGGCAAATTATTCAGTAACTGCATGAAATAAATGTAAATTTTTATTATTTATTTTTGTAAAAGCTCCCCTCAAATTAACAGAACATGTGTTTTATGATCACACATATTGCTATATGCTTACAATTTACTGCTGAAAGCCAAAAATCTTAGACGCTCTTTGTATTATTTTATAAAAGTAATTTGTACAGAGCAGATCACTGAAGAGACGCCATCTGTTTATAGTTTATAGCCCAGATTTGTGGAAAAATGGGTCGACTTTCAGTAGAAAAAAAATTGTTAGTTCAGCTTCTTTTATTATAAGGGTTTAAAATTACATCACCCATCTATTTGACTGGAAAGAAGACAGTTACAGCTCTCATATGACCCCCACCTTTAGAATGTAGCGTATGGAATATGAGTTATGAAGAATATGACGCAGTGCGTTTTGGAACCACCGACAAAATTTTGCACACTTTAATGTAGATCTGTGGATTTTTAGATTAGATTAAGTGACCTTTATTAGTCCCACAACGGGGAAATTTCACCCATCTATGCAGTGAAACACCACATACACACTACTGAACACACTATTTGATTTGACTACATTATGGAGCCAATCAACATCGTGGTATGCAGTGCTGGGTGCAGCTTAGATCTCCAGCAGGGCTGGTGACCAGTTTTGGAACAGGAGCAGGTTTAGTATGTGTGCTTTCTTCTGCTTGAATCCACCTCCAAAGTTCTCCCATCAGAGTCAAAGTGACTTGCCCCAGACTTTGGGCCTCGTTCACCTACTGTTCTTGAGAAGAAATTTCTTCTTAAACCCCCTTCTTATGCAGTTTTGACGAAGATTCTGACGTTCACCAGTGTTTTCTTATCTGGGATTTGTTCTTAGGTAAGAACAGAATCCACACACACTCAAGAGAACAAAGGTGAGAACAGTCCTACGCTTTAAGAACACGTCATGATTTTTTCTCATGACCTTTCTCAAGAACAAATTTAAGATACTGGTAAATAAGGCCCATTGTCCTTGATTTAATATGCAGTTTTAGATTGTTTAAATTTAAACTGGCCTACATTCACACCAATCAATTCAATTAGTCAATTCTTTAACCTTTTCAACTCCTTGGGACCACCGGTGGTTCCAAAACGCACTGCGTCATATTCTTCATAACTTTCATATTTCATAAGCTTCATTCTAAAGGTGGGGGTCGTATGAGAGCTGTAACTGTCTTCTTTCCAGTCAAATAGATGAGTGATGTGATTTTAAACCCTTATAATAAAAGAAGCTGAACTCACAATTTTTTTTCTACTGAAAGTCGACCCATTTTTCCACAAATCTGGGCTATAAACTATAAACAGATGGCGTCTCTTCAGTGATCTGCTCTGCAAAAAATATTCTTATAAAATAATACAAAGAGCATCTAAGATTTTTGGCTTTCAGCAGTAAATTGTAAGCATATAGCAATGTGTGATCATAAAACATGTTCTGTTAATTTGAGGGGAGCTTTTAAAATATATAAATAAAATAAAAATGTTTTTTCATGCAGTTACTGAAAAATGTGTCTTACGATTTGGTCGTGTAAATTCAGACAGACAAACCAAAATATACCCTGGAGAGTAAGAGGTTAAATAAGCAACACATGTACTTGTAAAGCCAGTTTAATTTTATATGAAAATGTTCCAAAAGGTACAACTCAGTGCTTTTAAATGTGCACTTTTTTGGTCTGTTATCAAAAATCACTGCAACAGCAAAACACAGCCAAGTTGTATTTTCATGGGGGTCTTGGCCAAAAGCTGCCCCTAATAAAAGGGCCGGTTTTCCGACCCAGATACAGCCTGACCCTGAAGTATTCTTACTGGGAAATCGTCACTACAATTGAAGTTCAGAAACAGCCCAACACTGGACACATTACAATAACTAAGTAAACCATGACCTGTTATAACTGCATTATTCCTTACATCCCCACAGCTCTAATGCATACAGGATTTCAGCACATCAGACACAAGTCTGACAAGGGAAACAGCAGATAGCCTCAGCATAACCACCACCATGTATTGACAGCCAGATTGTTCAAATTTAAAAACATTTACTTCTATTTTGCGATGTGATTATTCAACAGTTGGCACTACAAAGCACACAAGCTCTTGTTTGAGTTTAAAACCTGCGAGGCAAGCAAACTACAAAAATCCTATAAAAGGAGAATTTCATTTTGCAGTTTTGCTTCCAAAATAAGGAAGAACTGTAACAATAAGTTTTTGCAGAATTAAGATGTAAACAAAGTTATTCGGACTGGTTTGTTGTGAAATGGACCATTCTAGAGAAACCTGCCGAGTCAGAATCATCCACAGAGGTGGTGATCGGAACCAGGGCCTGTATTCACGAAGCTTCTCAGATTAGGAGAGCTGATCTAGGATCTGTTCCAGTCAGTAAATGAAAATTAAATAAGACATGAATCTGATAGTCAGTTAGAGGTTCTGAATGTTGGTTTCGATTACTTTTCGATTAATCGCCCAGCCCTAACATCACCCGACAGTGTTTGACAATAGTTTGCAGCCTATAATTACAAAAACCCAAAATAGTTTTAATTAAATAAAATAGTTTGTATAAGTTAAATCTATTTTTAAATTAGTTTAACCACTATTTGTTTGGGTGGGATAAAAAATAAACTAGGGAATTCCTTTTAATTGGGCTGAAATGTTACCTACATTTAAACGAGACAATGGACAGAACAGCAAGCACTCAGCCTCCGTGAATAATAGAAAATCAATCATGTTTATTAAACTAAAACACTGCAGATTACTCAGACATCAGTTTAAAAAAAAACGAAACAGGACATAGTATAAAGGTCTGAGACTCCTACGATTTGAAGCATCAAAGGCGATTCTCAAAATGCCAAAGCACTAACGAAAGTAGTAACATTTACTGTACAGTGAAGAAGCCCATCAAATTATTCAACTCAAGCCACGCTCCACATTTTTATATCAATAGATGGCGACTGATTACTGCTTAAGAATGTACATACGCAGCCATCAAGCTTATTTCAGCCACTCTGAATCCATACACTTCAGTGTAAGGATGCAATACAAGCCTTTTAATTCACTTTAATTCAAAGGACAGTCATTCAAGTCAAAATAGCTAAAGAAAAAAAACTTAAGCAATGCAGTTTGTGGGAAAAGAGGTGGGAAAAAAATCCACAAGCATTAACAACATAAAGAGGGACAGGAGGAGGGGAAAAAGCCTACCGCAGACCCCTTTATAGATCTGGTATGCATTTCTGATATTTACAATACATCCTTTGTTCTCATGCAAAGCTGAAAACATACGTGATAGTATCTACTCTGAAGCACCTGTGAAGTGCTTTGTGAAAGGCAAATGCCTTAAAACACTTGAGTTATGCATCACTGCAAGCTCAACTTCTCTACCAGCCTCTAAAAAAAGGCCCTCAGTCCTGTGAAGCAGACCTGGAACGTGAACGGGACTTCGATCGAGAAGGGGAACGGGACACTGAACGTTTGGCGGGTGATTTAGAGCGGTCACGATCCTCCTGAGGAGAAGGAGAGCGTGAGGCTGACTTCGGCCGCTCGTTGTTTCCGTTCTCCATCGGAGAGGCGGAGCGGCTGCGGGACTTCTTGCTCACCGACTTTTCCTTGGAACGGCTCCGAGAACCTCGCTCAGATTTGGGCTTCGAGCGACTCTTGGAGCGACTCTTAGAGCGACTCTTAGAGCGACTCTTAGAGCGACTCTTAGAGCGGGACTTGCGGGCATCGGATCGTGAGCGGGACTTGCGGCTCGCAGAGTGACTGCGAGATTTTCGGGAGCGGGAGCGAGAACGGGATTTTTTGGAGCGGGATTTGGCTGGAGACTTGGAATGGGACTTTCTGCTGGACCGGGAACTATACTTGTGACCGGACTTTGAGCGAGAGCGGTTCTTGCTGCGGGAACGTGACCTGTAACGTGGAGGGACAGAGAAAGATCAAAGTTACACACAAATCAGAATCAAACTCATGTCATCCTAATGAAAACAAATAATGAATAAATTAAAAAACAAAGAAACAAACAAAAAAACACTTACCGAGAGCGAGACCTTGAGCGGCTTCGTGAGCTCCTGCTCCTCCGGCTTCTGCTGCGAGAACGGCGCCTGCTACGGGACCTGTTGAGAAGATTAAGATATTAAGATTTTAAGATGTTCGCTCACCAATAACAAACCTATTACTACCCAATCAGCTGCTAATTGACTGCTTTAAACAGAGCCTTTGCAAGATTGCAGGGAACACAAGGCAGAACTACTCAAAGCACGGTTAGATATATCTATTACGAGATTTGTAGAGACTCAGATGCCAAAAAGCCGTACAAACAGGCTCAGACACCCACCTGGACCTGCTACCCGAGTAAGAGCGGCGACGTTTGGGCTTATCCTCCACCAGACGGATTCTCCTTCCATTGATATCAGACCCGTCCAACTTGTCTATCGCTCTCTTCATATCAGAGTGGGTGCGAAACTCGATCACTCCCTCATTGGTCCGCTCCTTGTGGGCATCAGCGTAGGTCACTTCACCGGCCTGCCGCATGAAGTCCTAATAACAACAATCAAAATCATAAGTCCTAAAAATACCAATCAGGCTAGTAAACTTTACCGGCTCAAGTCTTTGCCAGCTTAAATTACCTTGAGGTCCTGCCAGCTGCAGCGACTGGACAAATTCTCCACAATCAGCCGATACTCTGTGCGTACAGGTGGTCCGTACTTGTCTCGGCCAGAGCGGCTTCTGCTGCTGTAGCCACTACTACCTTTAGACAAAAGTGAACAACGCAGTCAGACAGTGTCCCCCCAGGAATCATCAATGCTGCACTCAGGCCAACCGCTTTAGACTAGAGAATCAAGTTCATGAATAAAATCTGAGCTTTCTGCTTTTTGTTCCATTGAGGCGTCAAACACTCCTTGTTGCGGTTTACCTCAGCACCAGATCGTCTAATTCAATCTTAAAAAGGAAAGAGGGAAAAACAGAACAAAAAGGGAAATAAAAACCCTTGGCAGAGACTCCTGAATGTACTCAGACGCACCCTGTTAAGCTTGCACTACTGGGTTTTATTCAGTCTAACCTTGACTCTGTTCTGATATGGAGCCCATTAAGTGACACTTTAGTTATGCATGGTCTACAGATGAGCACTACCAAATACTACAGACACTGGCTCATGTTAGGCATGTTTTAACTAAATGGTATGCACACTTTCCCCAAATTGTGGCACTGAATTATTAACCAAAAACAAACAAAACCAAAAAACAAAAACAAAAAAGTAGTAACGACTCCTACTGGGCTCCATACTCCAAATAAGTCTTACTGGATAAGTCCACATAGATCCTTTCCCCAATACAGAAAACTGAAAAATAACCAGTACTACTCACATTAGACTCTGGAACTTGCCTTTCTAATGACAGCACATGACAAAGCAACGGAAGCCCATTGCTCTCTTGTTAAAGACTAGATGACTGCTACATCGTTCACATTAACCTCTCCGATATTTCGTTCAACATAAAAACCAATGGGTTTCCTCACCATCACCCTGGTCTATTGGCAAAAGGCTGCTGTCATCATGGCTTCCGGTTAGGTCAGCCAAGGGTCAAAGGGCAAAGGTCACACACACATTGTAAGGTGAAAGCCAAGGCCAAACGGGACAGGCAGTCATCTTAGCCTCAATGGACTCGGACTCAGCCCGCACTGGACTCTTTCAAATTGAAACATCAAGGACTTTTGTTAATGTTGATTTCAAATGTATACACATAGCATGATCACACGTCATATCCTTTGTTTACATACCAGTGAGGCTTTTACAGAAACATTTAAGGGGGGAGAAAAATGTATGTACCGGAAACTGGTTCAGCCATCACTTGACATGCAAACGTGGTCATGTTCCCTATCCTTCCAAATTATTTAACACTACCTTTTTTCCAATGTAAGCATCTGCCCTCTGGCACAATTTCCTCTTTTTGGGCAGTCCAACCTACACAGCTTAAAATGCAAATCAATTACAAAGCTAACTCTTGTGCATCATCAGGGAAAAGCCTGTTTAAGAAGAGTGTTGGTCAGCATGAACAACTAGAGCTTCTACAGATGCCGCTCCTCCAGAGAGTCCTGCAAGGGATGCTTGACATGAGACGAAGGAAATGAAAGGTTATGTTAGGTTGGCTCATCCGTGAACCTGGGGGGAAAAGGCTTTATGAATGAGAATCTTATTAGACTGTACTTACTGCGCCCGCCACCCCCATAACCCCCACCGTATCCATCCCGGTCCCGACGCGGTCCTCTCGCATGTTCGACCAAGACACGTTCGCCACAAAGCTCTTTGCCGTTCAGCTCGTACACTGCATCGTCGGCATCTCGGGTGTCCTCGAACTCCACAAAGCCATACCTGCAAAAGAAATAAACGCATATTTAAAGCAGGCTACACAGCAGCTGCAAAGACCATATCTAGCATGATCAGCCCTCCATACAGAGCAGCATCCCACCCTCCAGTCCTGCAGTCTGAGCTACAATATAGAGCTGGACTGCAGCATTTGGGGAAAATCTGTGGGATTTTTCTGGCCAGTAGGGCTGGAACAATGAATGTAGCACACCCACTTTAACCTTTTATTCTCCAGGATAATTTTTTGTAAAAGCTCCCCTCAAATGAACAGAAAATGTGTTTTATGATCACACATATTGCTATATACTTACAACTTACTGCTGAAAGCCAAAAATCTTAGACGCTCTTTGTATTATTTTATAAAAATAATTTTTACAGAGCAGATCACTGAAGAGACACCATCTGTTTATAGTTTATAGCCCAGATTTGTGGAAAAATGGGTCGACTTTCAGTAGGAAAAAAAAAAAATCAGCTTTTTATTATAAGGGTTTAAAATGACATCACCCATCTATTTGACTGGAAAAAAGACAGTTACAGCTCTCATACGACCCCCACCTTTAGAATGAAGCTTATGAAATATTAAAGTTATGAAGAATATGACGAAGTGCATTTTGGAACCACCGGTGGTCTCAAGGAGCTGAAGAGGTTAAACTTGCTAATACTATGTTGAATAATGTGGAATATGATTAAATTTGCATGTGCGCTTTAAAAAACCAAATTTGGTATTAAAAACAAACATCAACACAGCTCTTCTGACAGTTATTTATGGGACTCGGATGCAGGAAAACTATACAAACTAATACAACACTGGAGCTAGGAAGCAATAACTTTACTTGGTTGAAAGGGTCTGTGTTTACAAACCACTTCAGAATTAGGAGAGACGGTCTAGTATTATTTAGTAATTATGAACATCGTTAGCACAAAGAGCCTAACCTATCCTGAGCTGCTTTGTGAATACAAGCCCGTGTAAAAGCAAGTGTAGGTTAACAGCAGTACAGGGTTTCCCAATCCAGGTCACGGAGCCCCAGTGTTACACATGGTTGTCTTTCCAGCCCCAAACAACTGATCCAAGTAACCTAACGATACCTCGCTCATCAACAACCCCTGACTCAGTGGAATAAGAGAGTTTAAAGTCAGGGAAAGCACCAAAACGTGCATGAAAGACCCTCCAGAGATCGGGCTGGGAAAACACTGCCTCCACTGCGCACGTTTTCACTTCAGTCCTCAGGCGCTGCTTCGCGTTCGCGCTCCAGTTAGCCTGAATGCTAACTAACTTGACGTTAAGCAGGCCCGGCTAACCGAGCGCGCAACTCACCGCGGTCTGGAAATGAAGCCTCCGTTAATTCACTCTAAATTACGCAGCTAAATTAACTGTTAGAACGCAAAATTAACGCTGAAGCCTGGATGAAGGAGCGCGCCAGCTAAGCTAGCGGTATTATCGTTCGCGGTTCTCTTTCACGTCCGCCATTTTGAGCACGCGGCCGAATTCTCCAAGTTTCAAAAAATGATCAGAAACGGTCCGAAAGAGCCGACTACAACCGCCGCTGACCCGCTTCGGGTGCGTTTATCTCGCTATACCAGCTAGGTTTGCAGCCGTAGCTCGATATTCCTTTAACACACGGAGGCCGAGTCGCCGGAGCGGAGCAGCGCTGAACGCGCGCGGCTGCAGCGGTTAGCCGGTTAGCGACACTCACCCGTTCTTCAAGTCGATCTCCAGCAGTTTCCCGTAGCCGCTGAAGAACCTCTGGATGTCCTTTTCGCGGACGTGGTAGCTCAGCCTGCCTATATAAACTCGCGGCATCGTACTAAATGCTGCTTTTTTTCCTCGCCAGTAAAAACCGAAACGGCACCGAGAACAACACGCGACCCTCCGCTGCTCTCCGGCTGTGCGAGGATCCGCGCGGCCTCGGCGGAGCGCCACTTATACCCGTGACGTCATCAGCCTCGCTGACGTCACCGCCGATATGTAAAATAAAAGAGCTGTACAGAGTAAACCGGCAAAGTTTTAACAACAACAACAAAAATCCACAGTATTGTGCACTTCTGTCTAATTCTACGGGGCCTCTAAGGTGACACGCTGATTATTTTTTAATAAGATGTGGCCACAAATTAACCTATTATGCTACTGGCTGCTAAATTTCCTTAGGGATCAATAAGTATCTATCTATCTATCTATCTCTTTTTCTCCAGGGTATATTTTAGTTTGTCCATCTGAATTCACAGGACCAAATCGTAAGGCAAATTATTCAGTAACTGCGTGAAATAACCGTACATGTTTTTATTTATTTATTTGTTTATGTATTTTATGATCACACATATTGCTATATGCTTACAATTTACTGCTGAAAGCCAAAAATCTTAGACTCTCTTTTATTATTTTATAAAAATAATGTTTACAGAGCAGATCACTGAAGAGACGCCATCTGTTTATAGTTTATAGCCCAGATTTGTGGAAAAAAAAATTGTGAGTTTATCTTCTTTTATTATAAGGGTTTAAAATTATATCACCCATCTATTTGACTCTCATATGACACCCACCTTTTGAATGTAGCTTATGAAATATGAAAGTTATGAAGAATATGATGAAGTGCATTTGGGAACCACCGGTGGTCTCAAGGAGTTGAAAAGGTTGAGGACACAGCTTACCATATAATGAATTACTATAGTGAGACCACTAATTAATATGTTGAGTCCACAAGTTATGAGAAACATAACTGTTGGTCTTAATATGTCATTTTGTGGCCTCAACATATTAATTCATGGGCACACCTTATTAAAAAATATTCATCATGCGGCCTTAGGGGCTCCATATAATTCAATAGGCGAGATGTAAACAAAGTCAGTTTGATGAGAAATGCGTAGAGAAGATTTGTTCACAGAACTATGGGTGGGCAATTTGACAATGTTTTATTGTAACCGCCACAATATGCTTTTCTAATTATACCATAGATATTTTAAAGAACACTGACTGACTACTTGTTTTATTGCAAAGTGAGCATAATTAGGCCGGTTTAACTGAATTTAGTGCAGTGTAGCTTGTAAAACATTAAATGAAAAATCTTTGTACCTTTGTTATTATGGTGTTTTTGTATGCAGCCCTACAGGTTCTATTTTGTACGTTCCAACCCAACTTTTTAAATCTCAGAAAAACAAAATATCATGATGCATACAATGTATCAGGAAAATGTCTTGAAGTATCATGATATAACATTTTTGCCATATCACCCACCCCTAATAGGAGACATTTGTAGAGTTTAATGTCCTAATACCTCCCTCACACGTAACTATTACATGAAAGATTTACAAATACATTAGAAAATACATTTTTAGATAACATTTTGGCATAAAATATATTTTTGAATCCATTCATGGTGGAGCGGTACATGCAGGGTGTTATAAAGCAAAATAGTACAAAAGAAAAGTAGATCTTTGTATTTATCACTATATAATATTATCAACATTACATATAGAAACTCAGAAGACACTTATAGGTTCACTGGTCGTTTTGAAAAGTGAGATAGAATATAAAATGTATATATCTGCACTGTAGCCATCATAACCCCTGGTTCCTATCACCACTTTAAGTTTCTTTACAATTTCACATCAAAATACTCTGACTGACTTTGTTACATGTCAGTGATTTAATTATGCAGAAATTTAGATTAATCAGTCAGAATTTTCCTTTAACCCTGGTTAGCTTAAAGCTATTGTTTACTAAACTGCATCAGTCCATAAGTAGTGTTCGTTTGGAAAAATGAACTAATGTGTACATTAAGACCACCGTAAACACAGTATAAAATCTATTATTTATTCAGCATTGAACATAACAATATGTAAAGTTTTCATAACTTAATTGGTTAAATGGAATACTTAGATTTTGCTTGGTTGTTTATATTGTAATTTTGCTTCTTGGAAAAAAGTAAACAAATAAATATGGCAATAGGTATTTAGTGTATTTCAATTTACAGTTGAAAACCTAAACAGGACTTTATTTAGAGCAAAGAGCACATCAGTAGTAAAGATTAATTTATTCATGCATAAATTAGTACAAATTAGAACTTTTCATCCAGACACTGGAGAATATCATAAAATACTAGTATAAGAACATTGATATTTCACATCTGTACACTTAGTCCAATTTTTTCCACCTAAAGTCACTCACATCTAATGGCACCACCTTATGTATTGTGTTTATTATCAGGAATATAATAAACATAGTACATAAGGTGGTGCGGTTAGTGATTAAAAACTATACTTAAATATAAAATACAATCACATTCTGGCAATTTTAACAATGAACTAATCAATAAAGGCAATAAATGCTTTCTGGTTATTAACGACTACTCTATCAAAGTGTGAGTGTTTAATGAGCGGCACTTCACTTTCCATTGAATGCCCCGAGAGCACAATGAGCAATCTGAGCTGACTGAGTGTTTTGTGAATGGTCAATCACAGGAAGATCAACAGAGTGCTTTGTGACCATGTACATGTAAATCTCTGTGAGTAATAAGGCCAATCCCATGGTCAGTCAAAATTCTGTCCATTTTATACTAGAAATGATCAAGTGGAGTTTCATAAACCATGATTTTCATAAACAATAATCTGTCCAAACTCATCTACAGTTTACTCTGAGTCGTATTTTTGACTCTTAGCACTCCTTCTTGTGCGCAAGAGACCGCAAGAACACCGTCTTGTCTCCACATGCGGCCTTGGACCAATCCTCTGCTCCCTCCTACACAAGAGGACAAAAAGAAACAAACACATCAGTGGACATATGAAACGTCTTACGGCCGTGCTACACTGACCCAACATTTCACAGTAAATACAAACGTCCTTAGGCTGGTACAGAACAGTTACCACACAATGGATGCACCAGACGGACAACTTTCAATGTCCAAAACTAACAAAAAACTCAAACAAAACTCCTAAACAAACCTGGAGTATGAATGGCAGTAAATTAGTCTGAATTATTAGCCTATAAAATGTAAAAAAGTGTTACTGGAAAATGTTTAACTCTGATCATCTGGAGGGTGGTGATGTTTTTATTTCTTTTCCAAAGTAAAACATTTTGGATTAAATTATGAGAAAGACTACACTCACACGCTTTTATCTAGAGCAATTTTCAGTGGCCAGAGTGAACATGGGACTTAAAATTCATACTGCTAAAGGCAATAGTTACAGTGAAGCTTTTATTTCTGATTGTAGGCATTTTTTTTTTACATAGAAAGCGATGAGTTTGAGGTGTGAAGAGCTGGTGAAAAACAAGAAAAAAATCATTAGATGACATTGAATGGTGAGATTATTCTAGAAGAGTGTGAATTGGGAGGCATAGTCTACAATGTATAAAAGTACACGGGGAAAACATTTTAGTAATGTTAGTGGGTGGAAACAGCAGAGTGAGTGGGAGAGAACATTCTAGAATGCACTCTAGAGAAACCAACTACATGAGCATTTCATTTATTTGTTTATCTTTGCTGTTGTTGGCATGAATGGAGTGAGTAATATTTGCGAACTGTTGTTAAGGTCTGTACACTCCTTGTTAATCATGTACTCGAGTTAGTTTTTTTAGTTTTCACAGACGTGATTTACTTTGCAGATGTAGTGAGGTGTTAGTTTGTAGCTACTGTGATTAGCGCTTTGGTGCGTTATCATTTTGGGTGCATGTTTCCAGAACTGCAGCGTGGGAAAAAATAAACAGATGATGTTACTGAGCTGAATGTGATCTGTATGTTAGTGGAAAGGCCCAGTCCCATTTCTTCTTTCTACCCCTTGTTTTCGGGTGTCACCCTAACCCCTTTGAACTGAGTTACAAGGAGTAGTGGTTGAAATCTTGCCCTACGAAATGGGACAACCCTCAAATTAAAATAAATAAATAAATAAAAACATTGCTTCATTAACAGGCTATTAACGGTGCTCTGTAGGCAACCCAGCCCGTCTTTGGTGATAGCAGAGTTCAGCGACCTCGCTGCTGGGCTTTAGTTACATTTAGGGCATCATATGCCTTCAAAGACGGGGGTTTAAGACAATTATTAATCATCGCCCACCCCTAATTCTTTGGTCATACGATGCTGAAGTCAACTATTCACCAGCTTACTGTTTGAATTTTCCCGTTCCATCTTAAATGGTGCAGCAGTTATATTCTGGCTCTTCAGGTGTCAGAACTGCCTGACTACTTAAGGTGGAACGGAAAATTAGCTAGCTAGCTACCGAGACATTAGCATGCTATTAGCGATTTTTATGCTTGTTATGAAGAAAACGACCAAAATACACTGAAATGACATTAAACTAAGAGAATACGATAGTTGTTGTAATTTTTAATTTTTTAAATTCTCACATTTGTGGGTTTCTTTGGTTGCTCGCGCAACCATCTTGCCGGTTTTTCTTTTTTTTCTGATAACACTCTGTGTGGAGTCTCTGAAAAACCTCTGTTTGGAGGGTCATGTAGCCCTAACACTTCGCCCCACCCCTCTATCTCAACAAAAACTGGGACACCCCAACCCTAGACGTGAACGCACGAAACAAAGGGCTAAGGGCTAAGTGGCAGGGGTGAGGGGTGAAATGGGATTGGGCCTAAATAAGATTCGCTATTCAGTATATCCAGTGTAAAGTGTCCTCACATCGTAAACATGCTAGATCTTAAAGGGGGACTAATTTTATAGGGCTAAATGTCTAACATATGCATCATGGCAATATGCGCATGTGTATGTATAAGGAGTGAGAGGGGGTGTGCAGCATGAGGTTTAATGTCTGAAGAGGCAGGGGAGTGTAAAAAGTTTGGGAACCACTGTTCTAGAACAATGTGAGTGGGGAGAAAGCATTCTACAACAGTGTTAGTGTAAGAAAAAAACATTCTAGAACAGTGTGAATGGGAGAATACTCTAGAAAAGTGTGACTGAGGGGGAAGCATTCTAGAACAATCTGAGTGTGGGGGGAAAAACATTATAGAACAGTATGAGCAGGGGAAACATTCTGGAACTGTGTTAAATAGAGGACATCCTAGAACAGTTTGAGTGTGGGGGAACATTCTACATCAGTACGAGTGTGAGAAAAACTTTTCTAGAGCTGTGTGAATGGGAGAGAATATTCTAGAATAATGTGAGTGGGGGGGCATTCAAGTACAGTGTTAGGAGAAAAAACATTCTAGAACAGTGTGAATGAGAGAATATTCTAGAAAAGTGTGACTGAGGGGGAAGCATTCTAGAGCAATGTGAGTGGGGGGGGCATTCTAGAACACTATGAGCAGGGGAAACATTTTGGAACAGTGTTAAGGAGAGGACATTCTAGAACAGTGTGGGGGAACATCCTACATCAGTATGAGTGTGAGGAAAAATATTCTAGAACTGTGTAAATGGGAGAGAATATTCTAGAACAGTGTGAATGGTGGAGAATATTCTAGAGACTCTACTGCTGCACTTGCATCTTGGTGTTGAGAAAAGAAGAGAACTGGTGAGAACCTCAGCAGAATTGTTGTAATCGGCGATGGTACAGAACTGACTGTAGCATTCACCTGTGCACACATTGCCATTGGGATAGCGCTGCTGGAATAACAGCGGTGTTTGTGCCTGTAAGCAGGATCACCCATTAATTTATCCTGAAAAGTATACTGAACACGCGCTAATGTTTCTAACGGTGTGTTGTTGTTGTACATTTTGTTGCACTGTTCAACTACAAGCATTAAAAGTCTGCATGAAAATAATTCAGCATCTAGAATATTCTACCTCTGCAGCCACAGCACATTTATTACCACTGATCATCACTTACCTGCCCAAGGACTCTCACATTCATACAGCATCCACTGGTCTGCTCGGAATGTGTTGTGGAACCACATGGCGTGGTCGAGGGAGGCTGAGAACTGAGCCCTGTACTTGGGGTAAGGCAGCAGTGCAGTGGGGAGCAAAGAGTAGTCTGACACATAAGCAGCAACACAGCAGTGCAGTTTCATGTCGTCCTCCCCTGAAATAAGTAAACACACAGTATACGTGTCAATTAGGAGAAACAGCAGAAAACCTTGCATCTTCATTTTTGACATTATTTGAAAATACCCATTGCCCTTTACATTAGTTGGAATTTTCATTAAGAATGGACTCAAAATGACCTGGAAAAAAGTCTGGTTCCATTGACTTACATTAAGAGTAAAGTAGGTTTTTTCCTTCTCCTGTAAAGTTACCATTTTGGAGATACAAGGTTTTCTTCTGACAACAGCAAAGCTTTTGTTTACTTAAGTAACAGAACAGCTGAACATAAAGAACGGGCACAATGCTGATCTACACCTATCAGGCATAACATTATGACCACCTCCTTGTTTCTACGCTCATTGTCCATTTTATCAGCTCCACTTACTATATAGGTGCACTTTGTAGTTCTACAGTTACAGACTGTAGTCCATCTGTTTCTCTGCATACTTTGTTAGCCCCCTTTTACCCTGTTCTTCAGTGGTCAGGACCCCCATGGACCTTCATAGAGCAGGTACTATTTGGGTGGTGGATCATTCTCAGCACTGCAGTAACACTGATGTGGTGGTGGTGTGTTAGTGTGTGTTGCGCTGGTGCAAGTAGATCAGACACAGCAGTGCTGCTAGAGTTTTTAAACACCTCAGTGTCACTGCTGAACTGAGAATAGTCCACCAACCAAAAATATCCAGTCAACAGCGTCCTGTGGGCAGCGTCCTGTGACCACTGATGAAGGACTAGAGGATGACCAACACAAACTGTGCAGCAGCAGATGAGCTATCGTCTCTGACTTTACATCTACAGGGTGGACTGACAAGGTATGAGTGTCTAATAGAGTGGACAGTGAGTGGACATAGTGTTTAAAAACCTCCAGCAGCACTGCTGTGTCTGATCCACTCAGACCAGCGCAACACACACTAACACTCCACCACCACATCAGTGTTACCGCAGTGCTGAGAATGACCCACCACCCAAATAGTACCTGCTCTGTAGTGTCCATGGGGGTCCCCACTGAAGAACAGGGTAAAAGGGGGCTAACAAAGTATGCAGAGAAACAGATGGACTACAGTCTGTAACTGTAGAACTACAAAGTGCACCTATATAGTAAGTGGAGCTGATAAAATGGACAATGAGCGTAGAAACAAGGAGGTGGTCATAACGTTATGCCTGATCGGTGTACACAAGCACAATGTGTACTGCAAAAAAACATTTAAAGGTGTCACTTTTTCTAATCACAATCTCGGTCGTACCTATATGCCCTTTTGCTCTGACCCAGAACAGTTTCTTGGGTTCCATGACGACACGTCTATAGAAATCAGGTGGGTTCACTGGTTTGATCTCGATGGGAACCTCTTCTGCCAGTATTTTATTCAAGCCCTGTTTGGTAACATCAGCCACATTTGGATCGCTGTAAAAACAGATGTAAGGTTTAATCATAAGTGTCCGATATATCTGTTTCCAGTCGTCCTGCATGATTTACTAAACAAAACAGAGACAGTGAATGTTCTTTAGTGACACCTGAGGTATCTCTGGATAAGTTCCTCTACAGTAAGCAGGGCCTCAGGTGGGGGGACGCTGGGCATGGTGAACTGATGCTCCAGTGGACTGGGCTGCGACATATGAAAGGACGCCTGACATATCAGTATCGGCTGACCGTGCTGGATGGCCTTCACAGATCGAACGCAGAAACTGCGGCCGTCTCGGGTCCGCTCTACCTGGTAAAGCACTGGAACTTTGGGATCACCTGTAAGGCAACAAGGAAGGTTACATATGTAGATGTATGATGGGCAAAACAGGCTTTAGCAGAGCTCAGTATTAATAACTGATCACATTGATTTATCAGTCTACTCAGGCTTTAGCAGAGCTCAGTAACACTGAGATTAATAACTGATCACATTGATTTATCAGTCTACTCAGGCTTTAGCAGAGCTCAGTAACACTGAGATTAATAACTGATCACAATGATTTATCAGTCTACTCAGGCTTTAGCAGAGCTCAATAACACTGAGATTAATAACTGATCACATTGATTTATCAGTCTACTCAGGCTTTAGCAGAGCTCAGTAACACTGAGATTAATAACTGATCACATTGATTTATCAGTCTACTCAGGCTTTAGCAGAGCTCAATAACACTGAGATTAATAACTGATCACATTGATTTATCAGTCTACTCAGGCTTTAGCAGAGCTCAGTAACACTGAGATTAATAACTGATCACACTGATTTATCAGTCTACTCAGGCTTTAGCAGAGCTCAGTAACACTGAGATTAATAACTGATCACATTGATTTATCAGTCTACTCAGGCTTTAGTACAAACTTCATTGTAAAGCCGCTGTTAATTAAGGTCCTTTTTAGTGTTTGTCCAACAAACATGTTTGCTACACGCTGTTCACTGATTCTAAAACACTTAATAAACAAACATTCATAGTGTTTCTTTTGAAACTTGTATGTTTTTTGTTTAGTGGGTAGGCATTATAAGATTATAATTATTCAATTAAAAAAATTAAAAGATAATTGTATTCTAAATACTGCCTTTCTGTAATTTGGAATACAAATACTTAATTCCTGTATTCTGACTACATAATCTCAATATTTGTAATCCATTACATCCCAATGTTCAATGTTCATTCCATATATATATCAAAGTTCATTGTATATATTAACATTCATTCAATATCTCTCAATGGAACAAAGACTGATGTATATGGAATGAAGATTTTGTGTTTGTGTTTGGTGACCCTCAGAAGAAAGAGTAGGGCTGGGAATGACCGACCTCAATTTTCAGTTGCTTTTCAAGTGGCATTGTTTCCATTTCTCTCAATAAAAAAGCATTTTTCAGACAGAAACTATGGCCTCATCTGACTCTTCTTCTGCACCATGTCAAATTATGTACATATTGAAGATCCACCCATCAGCCACTCTCAAATCACTCTGTCCCAGGGATCGCTGTGTATAGATACTGGTCACTTTATCAGAATTCCCTTCCTTTAAGCTCCACCTGGAGTTTGTTAATGCCCATTTATTGATGCACAGTTTTGTGAACCCTTCAACAGCGACTTTCATTCAATGTATATAAAAGTTCATTCAATATATATCAAAGTTCATTCAATTTGAAAATGCCTGTACCCCTTTACATTGCATGTCAATTAATATATATGTGTATATACATATATATACATAAACACACACACACACATACACACACACACACACACACACATACACATACATATATATATATATATATATACACATATATATACACACACATAAATACATGTATGTGTGTGTATGTATGTACGTGTATGGGACACTGAAGCAGCTGCATACCTTATACCTGACCTCACTCACTAATGCTCTTGTGGCTGAATGCAATCAAATCCTCACAGCAGTACTCCCAACATTTAGCCTTGAGTAGAGGCTGTTACAGCAGTAACAGGGGGACAAACACCTTATTAAATCCCCATGATTTCAGAAGAAATGCTGGATGATCAGGTGTGTACAAACTAAAAACCCCTCCTGACCAGTATTTAGGTTAGAGGTTAGGAAGCAGTAATGTAACAGGTACAGTCCTTTCATGTTGGTCCAGACACTTTGAGATTCAGATCTACTTTTTCAGCCTCTATATTTATATGTGTTGCTGAAATATTGGACTCCATTGACTCCAATGTTTATCTTTATTGTGTCTATGCTGACTCATGGCTCACCTGCTCGTACGAAGTAACAGTGCAGTGAATGAGCGTGAAGCTGGTCGGTGACAGACTTGGCTGCTGCTACCAGAGCCTGACCCACAATCTGACCACCGAACAGGCGCTGAGATCGAGGGACCCAGTGATGCTTCCCTCTGAGGCACATGTTAATTAGGAAAAAGGCAGAAGTGTAAATCAGGTCAAAGGGTACCTAAGGATAAGTGTGAGTGCGGAGGTATTTCAGACCTTCACAGCAGCACTCAGGCTGTTGATACAAGGTCCTATAAGCTGCAGGCGCTTTACCTGTACAAGTCGTATTCCAGCTTCTCCAGGTTTAAAACGCTGGTCACTAAAACGCTCCTGAGGTCCGGAGTGTCCGCAAACCTCGCAGCGGCGTCCATCACCTCCCGTTTCAGCTCGGCGCCGCTCTCAGCCATGTTGGAAGCGGCTACCACACCCGTATTCCGACAAGCCCGGCCTATTCCGCCCGCCTCGTGATTCGGTTTTATTTTAATTAATTCATTTATTTCCAAGAGAAAATACGATCACAGCAGTAAAACTCGTTGTACAGCAAAATTAGTTTAAATAACGTATTAATTAAAAAATTATGCCCCCCCCCCAAAACAAAGAGTAAAGAAAAAAGTTCTAGCGTTTTTTATATACCTTTCCGGAATGTAAATAAAAATAATAACAATAATATATTAATAACGTAATTTTAATCTACATAAATCTAAAATACATGCTTAGATTTCTGATGCTATGCTTATTTTATTTGATTTTTTATTTATTTTTTTTATTATTATTTTTATTTCTAGTTATTTCTGGGACATAATCCCATACATGATACTTACAATCCGGGACGAAGACAAGATAACAATATTGCTTTCTTCCTCGTAGTTTATCTTCACGTACATTACGAAAATAAATGTTCCGAGCAACTACTAGCCAATCACAGCGCATGAGGTGCTGCGCTACTAGCCAATCGCAAAGCAGGAGGCGGGGCTCTACGGAAAACGGGTGGAGGAACAGAAAGATTAGAGAGAACGTGCTATTATTATTCTCGCCGCTAGAGGGCAGCACCACTCTGCGCAAATTCAGCCCTCTTAGTAGAAACCCAGTAATATGCCTCTCTAAACACGGTCTCGCGCGTTTTCTCTCACATTTTAAGCACTTAATATGAGTTTTGATCATATTTAATAGGCCCGTAAGGCAAAACGAAGATGCACAATCCATTCTGGATCGCGAGCGCTGATCTGTCAGCCTGTACAGCGCGACGCACAGCAACCGCCATGCTTGAACTGTGTGGTCACGACGTCCGTCTCACACGAAATAAACATGTCAATCACACGAATTGAAAGCATCAGATGGATGCACCAGTTACAGACCACGCTTGTGCACGCGCGCGCACACTCACACACACACACACACAACACACACGCACGCGCGCGCGCACGCACGCACACGCTCGGATTTTCCTCTCCATCAGTGGCTCTCAGATGCGAGACCCTTGCAGCTGTCATCCCGAGTCGTGTCCACGCTGTTGGACCGCGTTTTCAGCCTTTTGTTGTTTCTGCGTAATTCGCGCGCCTGCATGGCTACGGCGACCGGAGCGGCTGGACCGGAGGAGTGCGTGCAGCGGGGGAGGTCTCAGAGTGACCCGAGCATCCTCACTGAGGCTCGGATGGTCTACAACAACAACGGCGCAGGTAAGAGAGCCCGTCATCCAGCCTCATCCGCTCAGCCTGGCGCTCCGAGCCGCTGCAGCAAAGCGGCAACGGCACCAGTGGGTGCTCAAATCAGCAGAGGCTCAGTTGTGATGTTGGTCAAGGCTATTTTTATGGTTATTATTTTTAAGGGGGGGCGTGGGGGTAAGGGGTGGGGGGGGTGTAATGCACTGATTCTCAGCACATGCATCACCTGAGCTCTGTGTCTGGATCTAAATGGGTGCATTGCATTGCGTTTGCCTTTGCACAGTCCTTGCCAGTCCACATCTGTTTTGAACTGATGCTGTTATGACGCGGTGGGCTTCCCCGTGACTAATGCAGGTCTAGGGCTGCACATTTGGCGATGCGTGCGGTGGTGCATGGTGAGTCCACCATGATGAAACCCACTGGCTGTACCACATGGAAAATGTGGCTGGATAGAGAGTACAGTGGGCTTCGGAGTCAGCTGCCTTTTATTGCCTTACATCACTGCAACCTGTGATGAGGTTGTCGATGGGGGAATGCCTCATTAAAGGTGCAGGATGGTGCACTTGAGGATGCGCGCAGCAAAGATGGGAATCGTCCAATGCAGCAGACCATTGAGTGCATTTAGGCCTAATCGCTGACTGGAACCCCCTCATCAGGGCAAACGTGTGGTGCAGTTAAAGGGGAAGATGCTGTTCTTGTGTATTCGGTTGTTGCTATGGCGACAAGGCATGACTGCCAGGCAGAAGATATCACCACTGAGGTGTTGAGAGACAGAGGTTGGCCTGACGTTCTTCAACAAGTGGGTCTTCCTGCTGTGGTTACAGCATATTGTAAGGGGAGTTTCTGCCGATTTTGCAAAAATTCTTCATAATGAAGTCGTCGAGATGTAAACAAAAAAGTCGAAAATGACGTTTGAACCCAAAACCCAGAGCTAAAATGGCAAAACATTTAGCTTTTAATGGGTATTACCTTTCATTTCTTTCAGTGTTGAAGACTTGTGGAGAAACTTTCAGCCAGTCTTTTACAGAAAGAATAGTCGATATTGTTGCACTCAGCATTGGTGGCTTTAAACAGTTGAAAAATATTGCCAAGCTACAACCCCAATTCCAAATAAGTCGGGATGCTCTGTAAAATGTAAGTAAATGTAAATAAAAAAAAAGAATGCAATGATTAGCAAATCTCATAGACCCATATTTTATTCACAATAGAACATAGCACACAGATCAGATGTTGAAAGTGAGACATTTTACCATTTCTTGAAAAACATGAACTCATTTAGAACTTGATGGCAGCAACACATCTCAAAAAAGTTGGGACAGGGCCACGTCTACCATTGTGTAACATCCCCTTTTTTAACAACAGTCTGAAAAGTAAGGAGACCAGTTGCTGGAGTTTTGGGAGAGGAATGTTGTCCCATTCTTGTCTGATGTTGGATTCTAGCTACTTAACAGTCCTGGGGCTTCTCTGCCGGATTTTTCGTATCATGATGCGCCAAATGTTTTCTATTGGTGAAAGGTCTGGACTGCAGGCGGCCAGTTCAGCACCCGGACTCTTCTTCTGTGAAGCCATGCTGTCGTGATGGATGCAGTATGTGGTTTAGCATTGTCTTTCTGAAATATGCAAGGCTTTCCCTGAAAGAGACGCTGTCTGGATGGGAGCATCGGTTGTTCTAAAACCTCTGTATACTGTTCAGCATTGATAGAGCCTTTCCAGATGTGTAAGCTGCCTATGCCATAGGCACTAATGCAGCCCCAGACCATCAGAGATGCAGGCTTTTGAACTGTGCTCTCGTAACAAGCTGATGGTCCATCTCCTCTTGAGTCCACAGGACACGGCGTTCATGGTTTCCAAAAAGAATTTCAAATTTTGATTCATCTGCCCACAGAACAGTTTTCCATTTTGCCTCAGTCCATTTTAAACAAGCTTTGGCCCAGAGAAGTTGGCGGTGTTTCTGGATCGTGTTGACATATGGCTTCTTCTTTTCATGATACAGCTTTAACTTGCGTTTGTGGATTGTGGTGAACTGTGTTCACAGACAATGATTCCTGGAAGTGTTCCTGAGCCCATGCAGTGATTTCCAGTACAGAATCATACCTGTTTTTAATGCAGTGCTGCCTGAGAGTCTTTTGATTATATTATGTACTGTAGATGGTGGGATATCCAAAGTCTTCACAGTTTTACATTGAGGAACATTTTTTTGAAGTTGTTATTTTTAGATGCAGTTTTTCTCAGATTGGTGAACCTCTGCCCATCTTTGCTTCTGAGAGACTCTGCCTCTCTGAAATGCTCTTTTTATTCCCAGTCATGTGAGTTAGCTGCAAATTGCTCCTCCAGCTGTTTATTAGTACCACTTACTTTTCCAGCCCTTTGTTGCTCCTGTCCCAACTTTTTTGAGATGCGTTGCTGCCATCAAGTTCTAAATGAGTTAATATTTTTCATGAAATGGTAAAATGTCTCACTTTCAACATCTGATATGTGTTCTATGTTCTATTGTACATAAAATATGGGACTATGAGATTTTATTTACATTTATTTACATTTCACACAGCGTCCTGACTTTTTTGGAATTGGGGTTGAAGTTTGCTTTTAATGTGAGATATTCTCTAATGGGGTTTAAATCTGGACTTTGACCAGGCTAAAACCATTAATTAAATGGTTTTATTTTATTGCTATCATGATGAATTATGTCTCAAAATGTATCCGTACTTAAAAAACACTGAACAACATTTCATTACAAAGTGAATAATTAGGCCTGTTTAATTAGATTTAGCGCTGTGCAGTTTGTAAAACATTGAATAAAAATCTTTGTAAGAATTTTGTAAGTTTATTTTTTTTATTATAGTATTTTATATGTAGCACCACAAGTTCAATTTTGCCGGTTCCACCTTCTTCAGTCTCAGAAAAACAAAATACATGATGCATATCGTGTATCATGAAAACATCTTAAAGTATCGCCATGCAATATGTTTTGCTGTATCGCCCACCCGTGGTACATACAACACATCTCATATGCACATCACCATTTTACAGTGCTGATTGTTCAGGGTTGAGTGGAAAATCTCTACCCACAAGCCTACGGGCCCATTTGGACATTTGGAATCAATGTTTACAATGACTTAAAACCAATTAGATTGCATATAAATGTGAAAATGACTCTAATATATTCACGTTCTAATATACTTCACATTCAAAGTAATTAGGCCTAATAGGAGGCGTTAAATAGAAGTAGAAAATTTCAGAAGTGCCCAGAATGAACAGAGCTTTAGATGATGCTCAAATGACTGAGGAAGCTGTGTAGCACCAGGAATCATGCCCACCGAGTTGTTCTGCGGCAAGCCCTCCGCTCTGGAAAGCTAAAATGGAATTAGTGATTGAATTGTGTTAAAAGCTCTTTGTTTGTACATGGACAGCTGGTGAATATCCATCCTTGGATTTGCAGCTAATCACTTGACGCTGTCCCAATATTGTGGTACCTCCGTAGCGTCTGTTGACACAGTTAGATGCTCATGCAGGTCCAGGACTTTTACTGAAAGCTCTCACGAGTTGGGCGCACGTGACTCAAATGGTTCAAATGTTGTAGGTGCCAAACGTCATACTGGCATAGTGTTATTGAAATACTTGTTTATGTAAAGGTCTGTTAGCACTGGAGTTGTACACCAAGTTTTACAGTGATCACTGCAAATTCACCTCTGTGAAAGCAATGCAGAGCAATCAGCTCAACCTCACTGTTGCTCTTCTAATTGCTCCAGTCTGGGTGGTCAAGACGTGCCATGCCAAATTCGTGGCAGCATGGTTTTACGGGTTGTTACCTTGACGACCGTGCAACAGTTTAGTCCTTTGTGCCCCCAGGCAATTTTGAATTCCACCACTTTTTGACGCAGCCATTGTGTAAGAGCCCTGGAACACGGGGTGAGAACCAAAATACAGGACAGGACAGATTTGTGGGACGTCAAGTTTCTTACCTAATGTCTCTTTATTCTCGAAAGAAATTCAAAGTAGAGCTGCCAGAGGGGTATAGAGGGTCTAATGGAGGTGCTCTGTGGATAGGGGATCTAAAATGTCAATGGCATTGTTCTAGAGATGAAATAGCTGGGTCATTCTACAGACACGTCCATTTTTTTTGTGTCCCTAGCGTTTACAGATATATTACACCTGAAAAGCATGCCAGAGTTAATATTTATTTATATTTTAAAACAAAACAATACGTTATTTTAACAATTACACCTTCTTGAGCCGTCAATTTAGCAATATTGGTTTTTAAATCAATTGTCTAGAATTCCAAGCAGTCATGTGTGAAGGCTGAGGCCATATTTTCAGAAAAAAAACATGTTTTTCTGCAGGTTTAACTGCAATAATCTATACATGACTATGAAATAAATGATTTAAATGACATAAAAGAAAACAAATGCCAAATAAATATTATAAAGTGTATAATGAAAGTTGTGGTCTCCAGGAGTCGTGTCACTGGTGTTACTGCGTAACAAAAAATCTCTTATTTTGAAATAAAAATCACACTGATGACATCACTTGACGTCCTTTTGCCTGTTTTCTGAGGATCTATGAAGAAAAGCACATGGTGAGTCCACTGTGTCTTTCAGTTATCAGAGATTTTCTCATTTAGCTCATGACTTCATATGAAGCTTTTAGCTGAAGTCACTGGTGTGACCGACTTTATTCTGAGGTAATTGTGAAAAAATAGAATACAAATGGATTAAATTCCATATTTTAGTGGATGTTCCATGATGGACAACATGTGGTTTGATGCTCTGTAGCAGCCGTTTTGTAAAAATGCATTTTTCATTAAAAATGTCTCTGGTGTTTCCTTTCTTATGTGTAACACCAATGAGGATTGGTAACACCGGTGACACCAATGGGTAGACAAGGACAAGGACATTTCTGTAGAATGGCCCAATGAGCAATAGTAGCAAATAGTTTAGCAAAGAAGCCCAGCGTCTATAAACATTATGTGCTACAATAAATATCAGTCGAATTTAAACATCTGTGCGATGCAGATC